CCAATTGTCCGGATCCAGCAACGCTCCATCGTCGGTGAATACATCCAACATGGCCCTGTACACCTCTCCATCCTTCCCTTGCCGGCGATGTACAGCAACATCCGAGAGCGTCGTTCCGGGGCGGTTCTTTCCTTTGTTCGAGTATTGAACAGCACCATCATGTTTAGCAGGTGCTTGGTTCAGAGGTACACGCTTCCAGTCGGTGGGTGGGGCGCTCAGGAGTGAGCGGAACCGGGTTTGAGCGTCTGCAAGGGCCTGCAGCCAGGACTCTCGTATTCTGTATCAGCATTACACATCAGCATATATCCTGGCTCGACCTGACTAGGAGTTCTCACCTTGAGCCCTCTGACATGGCAAGAACAACATCACCGCATTAGAATAAGCTGTCAGTCTTTTCGCGCCACCACTGTCCGTCCTTGACCTCGTGTGCAAGGGACTACGGCGCGGCCGTGGGATCAGGGCACACGCGTCACAGTCGATCGCCACTCGGCTGCCGGTGCATAGCTCGCCGCCCATAAAGTCCTTGGTCTCTGAACTGTAGAGGCTTGCCCTCTACCCCATGTCTAGACTTGGTTCGAGACTGCAGTTCTGTGCTAGAATTCGACCTGTCAATCAGCCATGGACACAACTTCCTCCACGACGCTTTAACAGCACGGTGCCGGGCGGAGAGTCAATCGAAAGCTTCACGGCGCATCACCGACCAGTATTCTGGCGACCAATATTAGTACGTTGTCCGAATAGAGGGTGCTCAAGATGCTGAACTTTATGCAGTTCTCAGTAGGTGTGGGTGCTGGAACCTACGGTCTCGCTGCCTGCTACACGAATGAAGACACGCGCAAATGGGCAAAAGAGCTGACACAAGGGACATGGTGGAGATCAGGTGGACCATCAAGCCAGGAGATGCAGCGCGCCCGAAGATTCGCCCTGCACAAGGTAAGTCATACTACAGATGAGTGAGCTGCTGACCTGACGCATCTACAGAGCCTTACGGCTCAACTAAAGCAGTGGGTTGACTACACGAAGAACTGGCCGGCAATAATGCGCGTCTACTTCCAGCGCGCGTGGATCTCAGTTGCCGAAGCGCGACTTAACAGCAGCGACGGTCGCAAGGCCGCCTTAATAATCCTAGGCTTGAACAGTGCAGTCTTCGTCGCATGGCAAATACCGGTCTTACGAAGTCGCATGGCCGCTTCGTTTCTACATTCGCCGCTGTCTGGGAAGAGCTACACGCTGGTCACCTCTGCATTCAGCCATCAGAACTTCATCCATATGGGTCTCAATATGTTTGCACTAGTATCGTTTGGCTCGGCCGCATTCGACTGGCTCGGTGCTCAGCAGTTCGGAATCCAAAACCTCGAGCCAGAATCCACCTACATCTACCACTCCTTTGCATTCTATCTGCTAGGTGAGAAACCATTTTGCCTTTCGAAGTCCGTTGCGGCTAATGCCGTATGCAGGAGGTATCTTCTCGTCGCTATTATCGCATGTTGTGGCGACGAGATTCCGCTTTCCGCGGATGCTCGCAGCGTTAACCGCTGGAAACGTGTCGACTACTGCGGCGCACGCCGCCAATGCCACTTCAATATTACCATCACTAGGGGCTTCTGGTGCGATATATGCGACAGTGACATTATCGGCATTAGCCATCCCGGACGCCTCGGTGTCCTTCATCTTCTTCCCGTGGCTGCAAATGCCAATATCTGCGGGCGTAGGCGGTTTGGTGTTGCTCGACATTGTAGGAGTATCGAGAGGCTGGAGGTGCGCATCTATCACATATGCGACGAGATCCTTTCTGACATCTACCACAGAGTATTTGATCATTGGGCACATCTTGGAGGAGCCGCGTTCGGCGTATTCTACTTCTACTATGGACCACAACTATGGAACTGGACACGACGTAGAGTATCTCAAGCTACAGATGCAGTTAGCTGGAAGAAGATATAATGCATACATCACCCCTCACTCAACTATTTGCAAGGATCTTGTTGGTCCGATCTTTGGCTATGTTCATGGTCGCCTCGGCACCGCGATCTAGCTCCTCTACCCACTCCGGACTCCCTGGTGTGTGCGGTACGATGATCGAAGGGTCGATCGACTCGACCGTCCGCACCTCCAGCATGCCCTTCATCTCCTCAGCGACCTGCGCCTTTGTGCGTCCGTTCACCCATGTCACGTAGCGTAGCCCGGGGAACTTCATCTCATATGCCCCATTGAGAATGATAAGTTGTTCTTGCACCACCGGGTCAACCGTCTCCGTACTTCGCTGCTCTGTCGCGCTGAGCGCCGAAAGTTTCTTCTGCCCGATCGCCGGGTGTGCGGTGAGCAGCGGCGTTCGTGCTTGCCATGGCAAGGTCTTCACGATAGCTGCGAAAGTGTCGATAACATCCGCATGGGACTTCGGTGGGTTGGCCACGAGTGCGGCATGTAATGAAGGTAGACTGTCTTCTATGGTAGATGACGGCTCGAAGACCAGCTCCATGTATTTCGCCAACGGATGGTTGAGCCCATCATAGGGCGACGTGATTTCGTCGAGCGTAGGGATGGCCGTTCCAGTCATGACGGTGTCAAGGGTCGGTTACGTTACGGAGGCATCTAACTCGAGCGAGCGCCTTGACGCTAACTTGCCCCTCGACCACGGTCTGGCGACCAAGCACAAATGCTACAACATGCGAATATTGACGTGGAACATCGTGAGTGACTGCCTATTGGATATCTCTCTATGCACTGACGATGCTGTACAGAATGGAGTCCGTACTCTCAACCAGTACCACCCGTACGCACGTCTCATGAGTCGTGTCATTCGTATATCAACAGGTCCGCAGATGGTTCACGCTCAAGACATTCGAGGCCATGCTCGAAAATGAGGATATCAAGTCGGATATATTCTGCTTCCAAGGTACGTATCGTCATTGCTACCTGTCTGTCCTCGTGACTTATGAGTGTGCCAGAGATGAAGATCGCTCGAACCGCGATCGATCGTTCCATCGCAGTTCCCGGGTGTTACGACGCGTTCTTTTCCCTTCCATTGGGCAGGAGCAAAGGAGGCTATAGTGGTGTCGGTGTTTACACCGATTCCAGGACAGTGATTCCCCTGAAGGCTGAAGAGGGACTGTCTGGGCTACTACAACCAAAGCCCTCGCTCTCCGAAGAGGAACGGGTCTCTCACCATTATCCATCTGCGCATCTTCTGGACCTGATACCTGACGACAAGGGTCATATTCCGTGCGATCTCCTAGAACTGGACAATGAGGGCCGAGCACTCGTCCTCGACTTCGGTCTCTTCGTCCTCATCAACACCTACTGCCCCGCCGAGGCATCCGAGGGCCGGCTCCCGTTCAAAATCAACTTCCACAACATGTTACGAGAACGAGTGCGGATCTTGGTTGAAGAGGAAGGGCGAGAGGTGATTGTGTTGGGAGATATCAATATATGCTCCCAGCCAATCGACCACTGCGATGGCCAACTACAGAGTAGGCGGAGTGTGTGGTGGGATCATCCGCCTCGTGTCTGGTTGCGCGACTGGCTGAAACCAAACGGAAAGCTTACCGACCTCACAAGAAGGTTCTGGCCTGAGCGGACGGGAATGTTCACCTGTTTGCGCCTCTCGAATTCTATTTGTGCCGTGCTGACGCGGACTAGGTTGGAACACACTCATTGATGCCCGGACCGCGAACTACGGCTCGAGGATTGACTATATTCTTTGTACCGATGGACTACTGCCATGGATTAAACACTCTGATGTCCTCCAAAAGGTACAGGGATCCGACCATTGTCCCGTGTACGTAGACCTACACGACGAGATTACGTTACCGGATGGTACTGTGCGCCGTCTGCAGGATGCAATGCAATTCGACCCCACAAGGGAGCTTCCGCGGATATCTGCAAGGCACTGGGACGAGTTTTCGAACAAACAGCCGCTTCTTTCGACATTCTTTGGCAGGAAGCCCATAGATTCGCCTGTGAAAGGGCGGCGCAGCCAAAGTCCTCCATCACAGGAGCGCGAGATATCCGAGGTACTAGAGACGCCGATTGACACCCCTCCTCCGCCTGGTGCTCAGACGTATCCCGCCTCGGGCGTTCTGACAGGGGACACTGCTCCTCTGCCGCCGAAACTTGTTGCTCAAGTGGTGTCGCTTCGACCGAAGTCACCAACTAAATTCTTCTCTCAGAGCAAGAGCAAGGGCAAGACATCAGACAAGAAGCCGAAGAACGGTCAAATGAAGCTTTCTTCATTCTTTGGCTCGAAAGCCGTAACTGAACCGCCACCAGCAAGCGCATCACAGTCTACCGACTCATCAAGTAATCGTACTATTTCTCAGTCGACGCAGCAATCCACAAGCGGGGTTGGTGACGTGGAGGACGATGAAGATTGGGCGAAGATCATCAGCCAGTCGGAGTCTTCTGGATCGTCCAAAGCGGCCTGGTCCAGCCTATTGTCTCGGCCTACTGCACCGAAATGTTCCGGCCATGGAATACCCGCAAAGGAGTTTACGGTTAATAAACCAGGACCGAACAAAGGAAAACACTTCTATTTGTGTTCATTGTGCGTTCGCTGTCAGTTGCGCAGGGGTGTTTGTGTCTGACATAGCGAGCAGGCCCGTTGGCACCGGCTATGATTCTGGTCATTCTAAACGACTTAGGGAAGAAGTCAACCCCGAGTACCGGTGTAATTTCTTCATGTGGGCAAGTGATGTCAAGAAAAGAGCGGCGTCGACCCAGGGCTCACCTGAAGCGAAACGGCCCCGGCTTTAATGATGCGTGTGTCGACCAATTTTGCCTGGTTTCCTCTTTGTTTTCTCCACTTGTATCAGTGTAGCAGCATACATGCCCTCAGTTAGCACTATAAAGTACTTGAGCATTTTCTTGTGACCTCAAGCATTGTTTTCTGTACATTATCGGCGAACGCATAAGTTATATGAATGAATTCACGTGTTTCTAACTGTGACCTGTGCTCGGAACCTTTTCCGTCAGAGCCTTTTCGAGATGTCAAAAACAACGTAAGTCCCCGGCAAGACTCGAACTCGCAGCCTCCGGATTCGGAATCCGACGCCTTAACCATTAGGCCACGGGGACGTCAACAAAGAGAAACCTGAACCAGGTTTAAGGCGGACTCTCAGCCGCTGAATCATTCAACAGACGCAACCCATCGAAAGTTTGAAGTATTTTACCATGAGTTGCTAGCATGTTCACCAGTGTCATAGGCTCCCAGCAACGCAGACATTTTGTAGTGCTAGTTTACAGTAGTGTATGGCATCGTTAGTCGTGAAATTGGCATATATCTACGGAAACCATGGACAAAGTCAAGGCACAAAAGAACGCAGAGGCCCTTTACCGCTTCAGGCTTCTTGCGAATCCTCTAGCAGGGCCAGAAGAGCCCTGGCTGATAGCAAGATGTGCTGATAGCAGTTCAGCATTGATTGAGTTGCACAGTAGAAAGGGACCGTGGACATACCAGCCTTGCGTTCCCAACCCTTCAGATTTTTCTTTCTCTTCGCACCGTTTTGTGGCTCGGTCAGGTTCAGCCTCTGCCGCACGAAGAGAGCTGCCGCGACACCGGTCTTGGCACCAGTGTCCGGCTGAGGTTGTGATGGCAACACGCGGACGGTACGAGACCTATCAGGTATTAGACTCGAACAACGACACAACGGTTGGAAGCGTACCCAACTACCCTATCCTTCATGGCGTCCCTTCGACGTTTCTTCCCCTCCTTCTCCTTGGACTTCTCAGTCTTATTAGCCTTCTTCAGCGAGCGCTCCTTCTTCTGTGCCTCCGACATAGCCGCTGCAGCAGAGGCGAACAGATGATCCGGAAGATGACGAGGTATGGACGCTTGTTGAGGAACGATGTTTTCTTCTTCCTCGTCCAGCAGGGCATCGAGACGAATATGACGAGAACCTTCCGGCACTTCGCCAGATACTGCCGTGGCGTCGTCGTCCTGCTCGTCTATCTCCACATCTCCTTCTTGCAAATGGCCCTCTCCTTCCTCCTCTTCCTCGTCCTCTTCATCAGCTTCGGCCATAGCCCGTTTCATCCTTTCTTCCGCTTCCCGCTGCTCCGAATCCACATCATCCGACGGAGGAAGCGGGATATTCGCAGCCTCATCGACATCGCCTTCAGCTGCCGATTCTTCGACCTCTGCCTTGCGCTTCTTGCGGCCACCGCCTTGAGCATCTGCACGTTCCTTCAGCGCTTGGTCACGCTTTTTGTTGGCTTCTCTCCGCCTGGCCGCAGCGCTTAATGATGCTAATGAGCAAGTTGCACTTGAGCTCATCACTGTGCTGCTCACCTTTCCTCAAACTCCTTCACCCTCTTCGCCTCATCTTCTGCAACCTTGCGACCGCTTTTCATCGATACAGGCTCGGGAGCGTCATCGTCATCATCCTCCTCCTCTTCTATATCCTCCGCATCATATGTGGCTGCCGGTGGAGAGGATGGGGCGGGTTCCGGTGTTGCTGCCTTTCTCTTCCTGCGAGAAGTAGGTAGGACGACATCGACGATCTGCCCTCCTTTCCCGCGGCTGGACAAGGCATTGGCGAAGGCGTTCTGTGCTTCCTGCGCCGGCGTAGACTCTGGCTCCTGCATCTCCACCTGCTTGGTAGCACGGCGAGCACTACGACGAGGGGGCATATTGGCCGTTTTAGTGAAGAGGACCAACGCAGGTCGATTGAGGAAACTGTTATGATAATTTTGTGTCCGATTAGATCAGGGTCTGCTGAGCGGCTTCCGAGCCGAAGATGAACCCCGCCCAGCTCTCCTCTCCTCTCCACCATCTCTCCTAAGTATACGCCCCATGTTATAGCCCACCTTGCACACATTCCTTGCCCTTGTCTGGCATACGCACGCATGTCTTCAGATCCGGACACGATCCTCTCCCCGCCGTTGGGTTACGTGACGCCGACCTTCCCGTGCCTGTACAACCCGAGGGCCGAGTTCACCCGCCAGAACTCGAGCGCGCTAGTGCCCGGAACTTGCTACTTATACTACTCGAATGGTGCGCATCGTGCTTCAACTCCTGTCGACCGCATGCTGACGGCCGGCATCGGGTAATCGATAGACGTGTGGCGGTTCACGCTTTACTGGACACTCATCTGCTACAGCATCACCTTCCTCCTAACCGGCACATGGGCATTCATCGTCTTCAGCAAGAAGTCCGTGCTCCTCGCAGCGGTCATCCCGCTCACCTTCGGCTTCTTCGCGTGCTTGGTTGCTCTCATCGGAGCGAGTATCATCGGGTTCGTCCTTGCAGCCGTGTACAGCGTCGGGTACTTCAGCATGTCGACGTGCGTGTGCTTCGCTTGTCCGATAGAACTCTCCGCTGACGTCAAACCTGAATAGTTGGGTTCCGTTCTTGTGGGCACTGGTGCAGACAATGGTCGCCATCATGGGGTAAACATTGTTTTGCACAGTTGACCACATCGGCTGATGAATGACCAGGTCGTATTCCACTTCGATATCGATAATATGACATTCCCCGAAGTCTGCCCGCACTTCCTTTCTTCGTTGTTATGCTGTTTGCCTTCCTTCTCACGCTCCTACGGCCCCGCACGAAACGACCTTCCACGCATCTGAATGAGCTGTGTACACTAGATCTGCATTACACTCTATCCGTGCAGAGTTTCTTCTTACAATACAATAACACATTCGACATATTTGCTACAATTTCTTGGTCCGTGCGATCCATCCGTCCGGACCAACCCGTGTAAGCCCAAAAGGGGCGCAAGAAGCCGGCCAAATAGAGTACAGCATGGCGTATTCCGCGATGAGTGCAGCATGATCAGAGGGATGCCATTTGCAAGGTAGCGGTCGCAAACGCCCATCGCTGGCATAGATGCATGCACTGTCTGCTCCATGGGGCAGGAACACAAAATGCGCTAGCAGAAGTGCGTTTTGTGATGGTGTCAGGGGCCAGCCCAAAGCTGCTAGGCACTGCTCTGATGATGAGCGTCTTTCCTCGAGAGACGGGGAATTGCACATACGCTCAGCGCATCCTGACCAGCAGGATTTGCTATTCCGGAGAAGGCTCAAACGCTCTACCAATCGGTCTCCATTCGTCGCTTGAACGTGATCTCGAACGCCTGTGCGCCCGCACCAGACTCATGCTCGAGCGGGTGCATCCGACGCATATCCGGCGGAGTGACGGGAGACGCACTCTCGTCCGTCATCGGACTGTCCGCGTCATGCCCGTGGGCATGCGTCGACCGCTGCGAGAAGTACAACATCGCGTTCGGGTCGTTCCTCATCGGCACGGGCCCGGGGGAGGGCGTCGCATCGCCAACAGGGAGGAGCGGGAGGAACGCGAGGAGCGGGCGCTTGCGCAGGGTGGGCGCTAGCTGGGGAGCAGAGCGCTTCTGCGGGGCGAGGGATCCGGCGCCACCACGATTCCGGGGCGCCGGGAGCGTGAGGGTGGGTACGGGCCGGGATATGCTCGTGATCGGAGGAAGCAGGGGGAGGAGCGCGGTAGGCGCTGATGCCAGCAACGCCGGCAGGTCCATGAGCGCCTTTGCCTCGTCGAGGGAGTCGAAAGCGTCCTCCCCGTCTGCCTCCAGTTGAAGCCGACGGAGCTCCTCGATGTCCGACCAGGAGAGCTCGGTGGTCGGTGAGGCTGGGGAGCGATCGTACGAGTCGGCCATCCGGACCGACTCCTCCGAGCAGAAAGAGACTGAACGGCAGATGGCGGCCGTCTTCTGCGGGAAGCAGGAGCGCTTGAGGATGGACTTAGGAGTTGCAAGGGGAGACATTGTGCATGAGAGAGGGGTGGAGTGAGGGGAGGATACGTTGATGGGGGGATAAATGGACGATTTGGCGGGGAAGGGCAGCAATAGATGTACTGCCGGGGACGCGGGCGCTGAAGGGGGGCAGAGTGGGCAGCGGTGTACGTATATGCTGTGTGGAGGAGGGCAGGGTTGGCAGGGTACGCCATGGCACCGCACACTGGGAGACGACACCAATATACCTCCCTGGATAAACACTCGGAACCAAAAAATGGGGGGCAGGACCCGTCCCGGATGCGGATTCGGTTGCTCCCTGAGGCACTGCCCCGGCCACCAGCGGTGCTGGAGCTTACGAGAAGGCAATGAACCGAGAGACACCGAACCAAGGCCATTTCATTCCGCCATCCGCGTACGTCATCCAGTTCGCCACGCACACCTGCGTTCCCCGCCAGCCACGGCCGCACAGGCCACGCGATGGGGCTTGGGATGGAAGCGGCCCGCAGCGAACCCGCCCGTGTCGCTTAATATTCCCATCAAAAGTGCATGCCACTCCTATGCCACATACTTCATCGCTGACGCGAGCAAAAGCCATTGTCCTGAGTCCTCTATGAACAGATGAATGAAGAGCTGACCGGTAACTACGTTATACAGTCCTGAAAAGCCCGATGATCAGAAGGCATCCCGACGATCACAGAAGTGTATTGCCCGCAAGCCAGGGTCAGGTGGAGGTGACACCACCGCACCAGCGGGCGACACCCCGTGAGATTCCCGGGTGAGTCGCCAGCTGATGGCGCATCACAGCTGTGCACCGCCCTCCGTAGCTTCGTGAGCCCAGCAATTCATTGCTGCGTCGTCACAAGAGGGGCTCCATTGTCGCCTCCCACCGCATTTGGCTTTGTTGCCGTGCAAGTTGCTATGAAATCCACGCGGCTAGAGGCCACTTTCACGTTCACAGTAGAAGGCGAAGCTTGTGGTAAGTATACCAGTGGGCCCCACACGTTGGCATCATCCTCGACACCGCGACATCATTTCCGACGGCACGATATCAGCCCGGTATTGATATGCACCGGCACCAGAGATAACAATACTTCAACAGATGTTCCCCGAGTTCGTCTTGGCTGACGAACCTTCCATCAGGTTCTAGAGATAGTATGAACCGCAATGCAAAACGCGCTTGTCAGGATGGACAAAACACGAGCTGTATACTCTGTACAGGGCTCGACAAGTACAACATGCGCATTAACTTCTTCATATTATCAAGTCTCACCGTCAGCAGAGACACGAGTGCAGGGTACGACGGTCGGGGTACTTGTCAGAATATCGCAAGGGGCGCTAGTGGGACCAGCAAGAGCACTGCGCTGA